ACACCTGTAGAAGGAGGTGAGGACTGAGCTTCCCAGACCAGCTCGTCTCAGCCGCCTGAGGAAGTAGAGTCTCTGATGAGCTGTCTTGGCTCTTCCTGCACCAGCTCTCCAGGTGTTCCACCTCCTGCCTGTAGCTGGACTCATCATTATTTTTGATGCATCCCACCACCGCTGTATCATCTGCAAACTTTACAATATGACAGCCTGGATGGGTATAGCTGCACAGTCATACGTTAGCAGAGTAAACTTCTTCTTCTAAACTTCTTCTTTTTCATTTAACTGAAATGAAATGAATGAATAAATAAATAAATAAATAAACAGGAGGGGCCTCAGCACAGGTAAAGCTGCTGCCTCTCAGCTAGCAGGTCCCTGGTTCAAATCCCAGTCCAAGGACCTTTCTGGGCGCAGTTTGCATGTTCTCTCCGTGCATTTGTGGGTTTTCTCCGGGTACTCCAGTTTCCTCCCACAGACCAAAAACATTCATGTTAGACTGATTGGTAACTCTAAATTGTCTCTAGGTGTGAGTGAGAGAGTGAATGGTTTGTCTCTCATTTGTCTCTATGTGTCCCTGTGATGGACTGGAGACATGTCCAAGGTGTCCCCTGCCTCTCACACAGTGATTCCTGAACATGGGCACCAGTGACCCCCCGCGATCCAAAAAGGAAGAAGTGGGTAAAGAAAATGGATGAATGGATGCTTTCTTTTTCAGCCATGTTGTTGCAGATTAGCTGCTGTGTTTGGGCTCGTTGTTCTGCTGCATCATGACCCAATTTGCTTTAAGCGTCAGCTGTCAGACAGATGGTGTCATTAGACTTTAGAATCCTTTGATCTATAACGGAGTTTGTGCTCGACTCAATGACTGTAAGATGTCTAGTCCTGTGAACGCAACACAAGCCCAATTCGTCAACTGTTTGTCTCCAAACATGCTGCTGTGCATTATGGGTAAACATCTCTACTTTAACTGCATCTGTTCCAAGGACGTTGTTCCTGAAGTCTTCTTTTTCTTTTAGATAAAACTTTACAAACATGAGTTGTGCTGCTGTGTTCATTTAAGAGATTTTTCCTGCAACTTTTCCAAGCAAATGATTCTTGTTCTGTTATTTTCTTATTGTCCTGCCACGAACCTTTAACCTGCAAACTGAACCTTTAACCTGCAAACTGAACCTT